GTGTAATGAAACTTGTCTCTGCATTACATGCCAAAGTATACATGCCGAAGTACACATGCCGAAGTACGCAGCACATTTGTGCTGATGTTTGTAACGCGTGGAGGTGTGCATGCGCAGGCAGGCACGAGATAATGCTGATTGGTGCATGCAATTCAGCTTGAAGATTCTAATTAAGAAGAGAGTTGGCAGACAGGACTGGAATGATGCGTGAAGATCCCTCTGGTTTTCATCGGGTTGTAGTTAACTTATATGCTTTAATTGAATTTCCAAGTTTATTTCCAAGTGATTTTAGACATTTTGTTTTGTACTGGCGTTTGTTAATTTAAATAAATCAAATTATTTTGTTAGCTCACTCCATATTATAACTAGTCATCATTAACTTGTTTGCATGTTTACTGTCTGCTGGCCACTTTGTCTGTCTGCTTGTTTCTATGTCTTTACATCCTCTTGTTTATAAGTTTTCATGTCTGTTTATCTATGTGTTTTCATGTCTGTTTGTCTATAAGTCCAAGTTTTCAGGTCTGTCTATATGTCTTCACTCGGTTTGGTTTTATTGGTTGTTTGTTTTCTGTGCGCTCGTTCAGTTGTTTGTTAAGGACAAATATTTACTAAAAGGGAAATTTAATATTTCGGTGATAATTCCATCAATTCATTTTTTTTAAATGTTCTGCTCACTGAATGCCAACACCGTAATTCATTTTAACTTTTTATGTGTTTAATGTTAAATGACTTCGTGATATTGTGCACACACACATATACAAACACATACAGACACAACATTTAGATACACACATTGAAAGTTTAATTGCTATTTTCAGGAAATTAGGCAGATTTTTGTTTGATCGATTGTTTTTGTTTTAAACTCTTTTTCATCATCGTTAGCTCGCAGTGACCTGTGATTGACGCATCGTTAAGTTAAAATATCCACGATATTCCTCATTGGAGCTGCCTGCAAACCAGCTGGTCGTTGGGACGCATCACAGTACCTCCTTCCTTCTGCTCTCTAATTGACAGTTTGCTCTTTTAATTGCATATCTTCAATCTATAAAAAAATATTTCTCAGTCGCAAATCTTACGGACTCATTGAATCAAATAATAGATACAATTAAATTTACAACTCAATCGAATTAATAAGCTTTATTGTTGCGCAACGAATTTATATGTATATGAATTAAAAAATTACAGCATTCTATTAATATATATATATATATTTATAAGTATAAAAGTACATATTCGTATAATATATATATATATATATATATATATATATATATATTATGTATAGATTCACCAAGCGTAAAAAATAACTCCATATAAAATTCCCGTGATGACCTGCTCCGCTCAGATTAAACAGTTCAAAAGTTTAAATTGAAAAACAAAACTTTCGTGTGGTTTTGTTCTTTTTACAATCTATTCCGACTTTTATTTTAAAATTTCTGAATGTACTTATAACATATAGTTTATGTTGCAGTTCGCGTGCTGATACAGTTTGCCGATTCTTTTAAACGGATCTGAGGTACGTTAAATTACAAAAAGCTGAGGAAGCAACTTTATCTTTTCAAATGGGAAGTTGTGTTAATAACGTTTTAAAAATGTGTTAAAAAACGCACATTTGAGAAAAAAAATGTAAACGATATGAAAAGAAAACCTGCAGGACATTATTATCCGATCGAAGAAATTAATCAATATTTTTATAATATTGGGGAATGTTCTATTTTGAAAAATTTCTATTCGTTATAAAAAGCACATTTCTTTGAATGTAGAGCTCAAATTATACAGAACATTATCCGATCGAACTAATTAATCAACGTTTTTCTTAAAAATTGGGTGATGCTTTGATGAACTCAAATTTTTGGAAACGATTAAAACAATTAGAGAAATATTGTCTTTATAATCATTAATAAATAACAATTCAAAATTTTATTTTATTTGTACAATACCGCGAAAGCAATTTAATTGAAATTTTTCACAACTTCATTTTTGATAAAAATTTTCTGGGATCTCATTTCCAGTCATGAAAACTTCCACCTCTCATTTGTGCGCCTGTAAATAGGTCAAGTATCTGCTGCTGGTCTACAGAGTTTCATTCTTATGACGGTGAAATAAAATTTAGTGCTGAGTTTATCGTAAATCAAAGAGTTTTGCAGTTTTGCATGCAAATGAAGGTTCACTAAGTTGAAACTTATGTTTTTTATAAGTTAATGTTGACTACTTTCGTAAATATTTTTTAAGGAATCTTTCTATTCCATTTCAACTCTCTCCTATTAATTATTATTATACCTTGATACTTACTCAGTTTGCGAAGGAATGTTCAATATATTTTAGGTTAACTTCTTCAACTGTTGCAACCACACGCACTGCAGTACATTTCAAACAATCATTTAAGTAGAAAACTATGGAGCAGATTGAGATGATACAATCGTTGGCAATCTTTTAAAAATTTCATAGTGGCATCCGGAAAGGAAAAAAACTTGTTAATTTTAATAAATAAACAGCGATCAAATTAAACTTTTTTTGAAATTTTATTTAAATAAAAAACTTTAAAATTCGTGTGATAAATTGTCAGTATGGCCTGGATCTCATGAAATCTGACAGCCACCAACAAAGAAATAAAGTGCGTTTTAGTGCATTAAAATGGCTTCATGTTTGAGAATGCTTGATTTAATCAATTTCAATAACGACGTGATGTTGTATTTCTGCTCGTGGCTCGGTAACTGGATCTTGGCTTTCTATTTTATCATTTGAAATATGGCCGGTTCAATTTTCTTATTTTCAATTTTCTTATTTTCAATTTTCTTATTTTCAATTTTCTTATTTTCAATTTCATATCCAATTTTTAATCAATTATGAAAACTAGCGATAAATGTTTTATTCAATGGAATCTTAAATTGAGAAAATTTTCAATGTTTAACAGCTCATGCAAGAGCACATTAATACAAAAATTTTCTTCAGATAGATTTCATTAACTGTATACTAAGGCTTTCAACACACTCACAAAAAGCTAACATTAGTATGGCTGGATGTGGCAATGGATGATCTTATATATACCTATATTTTTGTACTTATATAGATGGCAGTGGTTCATTTGCTCAGGTAGTGTATTGTAAATATTATAAATATTCCCATTGTTATTCTGCGAATTTACAGCCAGTGCAAAGTAAAACAATTGATAACAATGTAGATGTAGATGCAGATGCAATTCATTCACTCATCATTCATTCATTTATTCATTCATTCATTCGTTCGTTCGTTCATTCATTTTTCATTCATTCGCTCTTTCATATTCTCAATCATACATCTGCATTATTTTAAAACGTGCCATCATCGTTATACGTTAATATGATCAATGATTATATAGATAAATGGCTAGCTGGCTCTCTATACCTACGGATAATTTGTATGTTTGTGGGTAGGTACGATCAAAACACATGCCTGTTATATATCTGTTATTTAATTTTAAATATATATGTGTGTGTGTTAGCGTGTGTGTGTATGTGTGTGTGTCTGTTTTTCTTTCTGTCTGTGTGTGTGTGTTTATATATATATATATATATGTGTGTGTGTGTGTGTGTGTGTGTGTGTGTGTGTGTGTGTGTGTGTGTGTGTGTAGTATTGTATGAATTGTATATAAACCTCTGCGCGTATATAACATACAAATTAAATGTACACACCATAGCAGCCATACCAAAGTTTTTTGCGTGGCGTGTCTAATAATGAAGAGCTATGAATGATTGTGAGGTGCATAAACTAGTGAATTTGCTGTGAATCTCTTATCATCAGTTGAACATTAAACAAACTTTATACCTATACATTGTATATATACATACATATTTACATGTATATATACATGTATATTTGTTTAAATAAAACTATATTTGTGGGTATATTGTAACTTTACTTGTACCAAATATAACCAAGTATCACTTCTTAATACAACTTACTAAACTTCAACACAACCAAGAATTACGCTCTAACCTCAACAAGAATTTGTTAAATTACTAAACAGTCAACCCATAAAAGTATAACAAAGACACTTGTTGTAACGTACAAGAATCTTCCAACTAACTCCCAAAAACCAAAATTGCCTGACACGAAAGAATTATGAAGACTCATGAAAAACTGCAGCTAATAAAATGTCGTAAAATTTTGATCGAGTCCTTACAGGTTAGAGATGTTGTGATGATGTTGATGCTATCTATCTTCATGTTGTTGTTGTTTGTTTTTGTTGTTTTTGTTGTTGTTGGTGGTGGTGTTGTTGTTGTTGTTGTTGTTGTTGTTGTTTTTGTTGTCGATGGTGATGTAATTTCGTTGATGTCATAAAGTCATATTTATGTAATTGGTCACATTATATTATATAAATACTTGCAATGAACATAACAACACAAAGAACCAACACCCCGAACACCAGAAGAACCTGTTCATCGTACAAAAACATCGAACGGCAGAACATTAAGACAGTAAAGTTCGGTAAATTGACTTGTATGGAGATGGTGAATAATTAAAGCCAATCATTTTCTATCCAACAATGTACTCAGAGTTCTCAGTGCTTTGCACGGACCACACCTCTGTGAAGATGTACGCAACAAATATATGTGCGTGCAATCTTTCAAGATAAGAAAAAAACACAAAACAATAAAAACAAGTTTATTTTCTTCATTCGCCCCAGGCTTATGCAATCTCAACAGTCGTAAATGCTGCTGCACACACACAACACAACACACACACACAAGCAAAATGTGGTATGCACGTAAACACACACGTTTGTTTATTTAGTTATTTAAATTTGAATGTATATTGACAAAAATTAAAAATTTAATTTTGAAAATAAAATTTTTTTACATGTAAATGTTTTTGTTGCTCTGCGTATATGTACCAGCAAGGAGAGGTAAAAATAGAATAAGTTGATTTTAAAATTGAACATTCCATTTCATAATTGTAGCAATCATAATTCCATGTTTTATTGAGATAATAAAATATTTTATGGAGAAGGCATATGCGGAATGGAGGGGATGTCTTTGGTGATAACCAAGGTGGGAGTCGATGACGGATTGTGGGTGGGAGTAGGTACACATTGATGATGGCGGGAGAGAAGTGATTTCAAGGATCGTGAGGAGTGCAATGGAGTGATTGCATGGATCGTGATAAGTGCTATGGAGGGATTGCATGAAACGTGAAGAGTGCTATAGAGTGATTGCAAGGACAGGGAAGAGTGCTATAGAGTGATTGCATGAACCGTGAGGAGTGCAAGGAGTGATTGCATGGACCATGAGGAGTATGATGGAGTGATTTCATGAATCGTGAGGAGTGCAATTGAGGGATGATATTGTTGCTGATGTTGAATATATCGTGTGGAGTGCAAAAAATTGATTTTTTATGTCATGGTAGGATAAGGTAATTATGAAATAATGATGAGAAGATGATAACAAGATGAAAGGGAAATGGAAAGAAAAATGTTGTATCATTTGGTTTAGGAGTGCGAAAAATTAATTGCATGTGTTAATAAGAGTGCGGAAGGTGATTGTATCTATCAGAAATGATTGCATGTATCATGATTAATTAATTAATCAATTAATCAATCAATTTTCATCTTATTAATAAATAAATCACCGCAGATTGAATCAATAACGTCATTGTTGCAATCTCGGCAAATGTTCAGCAGCGAAGACGAAGTGAGAATCATGAATGCATGCAACGATGGTGAAAGAATAAGAAGGTGAGTGAATGTGACTAGATAGATATATAGATTTGTGGGGATGTGAGTGCCTATTTGTACACATGCACATATCTAGGAGTTACCAACGTTAGTGAATTCAGTGAATGAGAATGAACAAACGGTTAAAAAGATAGATAGATAGATAGATAGGTAGGTAGGTAGGTAGGTAGGTAGGTAGGTAGGTAGGTAGGTAGGTAGGTAGGTAGGTAGGTAGGTAGGTAGGTAGGTAGGTAGGTAGGTAGGTAGGTAGGTAGGTAGATAGATAGATAGATAGATAGATAGATAGATAGATAGATAGATAGATAGATAGATAGATAGATAGATAGATAGATAGATAGATAGATAGATAGATAGATAGATAGATAGATAGATAGATAGATAGATAGATAGATAGATAGATAGATAGATAGATAGATAGATAGATAGATAGATAGATAGATAGATAGATAGATAGATAGATAGATAGATAGATAGATAGATAGATAGATAGATAGATAGATAGATAGATAGATAGATAGATAGATAGATAGATAGATAGATAGATAGATAGATAGATAGATAGATAGATAGATAGATAGATAGATAGATGATAATGAGTAAATATGTGGGTGAATTGGAATAGATGTGAGTGCATGCAAAGAAGATGAAGAAGGTGAATGGAGGTGAGTGAATTGTGTGTTATTGATGGCCTCATAACAAAAATGAAGAGGTCGCTAGTTTGGCAGAAGATCAGATTAAACATTCGGCATATAGCTAAGAAAAAATAATTCTCAATACATTTTTATGTGGAAAAAAAAAGAAAATAATTGTCTGAAACTCTTCTCAAAGCAAAAACCTTATTCCGACGTTGCATTTAATAATAAAATATGCAAAACATTTCAACAGTATCTTAATATGTCGCTCTATTTAAATAAATTGGCTGCGGCAACTCTTACTTCTCGGAAAGAGTTTTTTATGTTAGTGAATATTTTAACGATTTTAACGACACCACCTAGTCCATAGAAGCAACGTAACGTAGTTGATTCAACAAAATATTTAGACAATTTTTACGTAACTCGCATATAACAGCCGGATAACACTTACCAACCTACAGCAACAAGCAACACCCAACAACAACAACAAAACGAAACTAAGCACGGCGGGCAACAACACACAATACTATCGTCATGACCAGATCATTCCGACATTCAAACACCGTATCTAGAATTCTCAATGTCTCTGTCATTTTGTCAATGATCATTTCTTCTTTAAATTATTAACTAATTAACAAACTTCCAACAACAAAATATTGCAGCAACAACCAACAATCGATTTTGAGACATGTACCATACAATAAATGTCTGTCACGTCATGTGTCATCATATGATGCCATCTTCATCTCATCATATCATGACATAAACATATCTGAGTTAACTTTAAAATGTTTTTCTATTATTTCTAACTCTTTAAATTATGTGTCATCTAAACAAATTTTGTTTGATTTTCTTAGTTAATTCAAATTTGTGTTTTCAATTGAAAATTGCACCAGAATATGTTTGTCTCAAACGATCGTTTTCAGATTTTTGAATACACTGGAGAGCAAACCAGATGCCACGTATAAAGCATTTTGTAACGTCCTTGAACTTCACTACCCTCATATCTTCCTCATGCTCATTGGCTGGGAGCATTGCTTGGATGGTGCCAATCATCACAGTGCTCGCGGTGCTAACGTGGTTCAAGGTTTGTATTCAAATGGGAAAATTCATTTACGATGGCATTTATTTTAATATATCAGTATAAATAGAACAGTAAAAGATGAAAATTTAGCAAAAATTTTTTTTAGAAAAAAAATCCATAAAAATCCCAATTCCACAAAAATTTATACGGATGGCTCAAAAAAGAAGTTCTCAACGACAGCAGCAATAGTTGTTTACCAGCAATCAAAGATTATACATAAGCTCATGAAACATCTTCCAAACTATACATCAATTTTTACGGCAGAGATCATCGCTATTGAGATGGCGATAAGCTATGTATCTAAATTCAATAATAACAAATTTTTAATATTTTCAGACTCATTATCTGCAATCACTGCACTTAATCAATATAGCCCTCAACATAATCTGATAAAGCAAATACAAAATAATATACATAATAACTTGACTAATAATAGTAATAAAATAGCTTTGATGTGGATTCCCAGTCACATAGGAATTCATGGCAACGAAGAAGCAGATCAACTCGCATCACAAGCCCATGCTATCCCAATATCAAATGTACCAATTCCATACAGTGATTTAAGAACTTGGGCAAAAAAAATTATGAATGAGAAATGGCAACTTGAATGGAATAAGATTAACAATTATCTTAAACTATCCATGCCAAGTGTTTATAAAAAAAAAAATCCAGATGAATCTAAGGGTTTAAACCGTAAACTGAGGACAATTATTAATAGGTTAAAAATAGGCCATTCAAAATACACTCATTCTTGGATAATCAACAAAACAAATCCACCAGCATGCAACTTTTGTGATGAAAAACTTTCTGTACAACACTTGGTGGAATGCAAAAACCATGATGATATTCGGAAACGATATCAGATCCCCTCAGATATTGAAAAAATTTTAAAGAGAGAAAACATCAATAATCTAATAACATATCTTCAGGAGATAAAAATACTCGACAGAATATAGAAATATTTGAAAAAAACTCAAAAGAACCCTAAGACAATTTTGTTTCAAAAGAAAAAAGGGCGTAAAGATAGCCAGTAGCGCTGAAACGCCGTTAAACTGCATTAATAATAATAATATTTTAATATTTTTATTTGAATAAAAACACACGTAACTTGGATTAGCGCTCAAATGACGTCAAATGAAATGATATGTAAGAATGTTCATGCACGGACACAAAACAAAACAAAATGATCAAACTCATCTTAACGATAAACAACTTCTAAAAAAGATTAACTATTATTTTTTTAATTTTTCTGTTGTCTATTTGCATTTTCATAATTAGATAACTTTTAAAATCAAAAAATTTGTCAATATACTTTTTCATATTTGCCGTTTTTCATAATGGGCATCTTTAAACCTTGAATCCTCTTAACAATAATTCATGATGGTGTGATATACAAAACAATAAATGATGGCAAGTGATTGAATTGTGGTGTTTTGTACTACACATGCCTGTGTTTCGATGTTTTGTTGCACACGCATGTACGCTCACACCTTCAAAACTACGACCTAGTAGTCCGCCTTTCTCGTGTCCTCGCCACGGTAGGTTATTTTATTCTGAAGAACGTTTGCTTTCAAACGGGAGAATATGTTATTATCAATTCAATCACAGCTTTTCAATTGTTCATGGCTCAATGTGTGTTGTTTAAGATGAATTTTTATGATTATGCACTCGAGATATTTAAATTCTTGTATCATTCATTTTGAAGTTGAAGAATTTTTTCGACGATTCATTCCATAGATTGAAGTTTTAACTAACCAATATTTTTCTACGCGAACGGCGTGCGGTTAAATGAAAAGTTTTGTAAAATTTAATGAATTTCTAGACAAATTTTATAAAATTAATGAATTTTTTAAAAATTTTAGAAAGTTTAATGAAAACTAAAATGAGCGTTCCTAAAAAAATCACAAAATTTCATTGCTAAAAATAATTGAAAACCTTTAAAACAGAACTTACACAAAAATATATTAAGAAACCGTTTTTATATAAATCATTTGTTTCCAAATGTTCATCTTTCAATAAAAACACATAAACAAAAGGAAAGAATTAAAGATGATTGTAAGTCATGCTGGAGACTTAACTTGACTTACCTGGCAAATCATGGGTTTATTTCTTTTCTTTTTTTTCATTATCCCAAAATTTTCTCGTTTTGTTGGTAATTTGTTTCCAGAGTTTTTTCAATTTTAGATTTATTCATCCATTTGGTTTTTTATTTAAATACTATTTTAATTCCTTTTAATAAAATAAATAAGCCCTTGAATTTCATTATTCCTATAAACTGATAAAATGAAATTTGTTCAATGTCCGGTTGAAATGCGATGAAACAAAAAATTTTTGGATTTTTTTTTTGTTGCAGCTTCAATCCTGCCTGCCTGCCTACCCTACTGTTCCACATTCCACTTCCTAATTTATTGTCACTGCTTTTTACTCTCCGTTCATGCTCTTCTTTATTTGCTTCTTGAGAATTTTATCAGCAATTTATTTGCATTTCGAATAGTTTTTCTTTTCTTAACATATTTTGAGTACGTAGAATGTTTACATAGCACAATATACCAGTGTTAATCTACGACCATTCATTCGCGATAAATTACATTTTTATTATACAATTTTTGTAGTTGATGAAGTAAGTTACCTTTTCATTATTTCAACGGCCTCCATCTCAGCAATGCGATTCAGAATGAAATTATTTTAAACAAACAAACGATGCTCTCCCACTAATGAAACAACTAATAATTAATTTTTTTTATTTACATTGCGTATTGATACTGCATGAAAGCGAAGTGAACGATGTACGCGACGAAAGCCAGCACGTACATTACGAAAGCCTGTGCGTACATTACGTGCTCATGACCCGGGGCTCTCCTATAAAGAATGTCGCATATTTTTTTCTTGTAATTTTAACCCTTCGCCTTGTCGAACAGAAATGTTTGAAAGGTTAGGACATGCATCGATGCTATATTGAGACAGCTTTTGTTTGATTCAGTCATCATTCCTTCATAAACAATTTTCAAACATGTCTGGCTAATCTAGCAAATTATAATATTAACAAACTATTTAAATTGTGATTTGTTCACGTTAAAATATAGAATATAATATTCGTAATTATATTATCATGGCCTGTGAAGTGAAACCGTTTGTTACTTGACTTGGTAGCGTTAACAACATGAGTTGAACATTATTTCATAATATCCCTTCACAGCATCTAGTCAGTGGGAACTGTTACAATTCAATCGAGACTATTTGACGAGAAACATGGATGTGGAAAGTGTGCTTCAACCACTGTTGAAAATTAAAGTATGTTTGTTTACACCTGGGAGTTACTTATGGGAGTGAAAATACAGTACAACGAATGTTCCTCGTGTTTTAGAAGTTATGATTTTTTTAGTTATACCAAAAATAGGCTAAAACTAAAAAAAACATGTCGTTGCGTGCCATTGAAGCATCACTTGAACAAAATTTTAAATTTGTTGAAAGGATGCATCTATGTTTTCTTTCTCATGTGTGATAAAAGATCATGTTTGAAACATGAATGAAATTTTAGCATAACAAACAATATTTCTTTTTCACGATTCTCAGTTAAATTTTTATTATTTTATAGCCTGCAAAATAAAATTACTTCAGTAGACTTATAGAAAAACAATTTCAATTTAAATAAATAAAGTTGAAAATTTCCACAACCAAAAGTTGTTAAATGAGAAAGAAGTGTTAACCATCGAAAAAGAACGTTCACCAAGTTTGCGCATGGAAACTCTTTTGAACATTCTAGAGAACAAAGCAGAAACGTTGTACAATGCATTCCTCGAGGTCATTGCAGACTCCTTCCCCCATGTTTACTTGGCGCTCACAAGGCACGAAGATAAGCCGCAAAGTAATTTAAAACTTTCCATAATTTTATTTTTAAACTTCTCTTGCATATTAATACATATTACATACTATCTTCATTCGTTGTACATTAATTTATACAAATATTATGTTTCTTCATAAGCTTGCACATTTCATGCGAAACATTTTTACATATTCATTAAATTATGTCTATTTAAATGAAAATTTAACAAATTATTTGCAGATTATGACGGAATACAATGCGGAAAGTCATGAATAAAAAATTCAATAAGCAGTATCAACTGTTCTTCCGATCAACATCAAAATGTGATTTTTAAGTAAGAAATCTTGGAATAACGGCGATAGCATAGAAACCGTTTAAGCTTTTCAATTTTGTACTGTACTATTTTTGTCACACCTTATGCGTTTTTCAAGATAATTTTTTATATTTATTATATATCAAGATATAAACACATGTAAAAAAAATCACTTCAAATTCTCATGTACAGTAATTCAAAAAAATTATTCAAAAGTTTATTATTCAAAACTGAAATCCCCTTTCCTCAAGAGCAAAAATGAAATAAAAACATTTCAAGCCAATCCAAACGTGATGGCTAAAACGAATGCCAACCGTTCGTTGACCAGCATCCAAGATTGTTCATTTGAATTCCGCGTAAACGATGGACATCACAATTTTGTGTTGTTTTTTATCATGTTATCTAAGTGTATATGTTTCTACATATTTAGATTTATAGTTTTCATGAATTTATAAATAGAGTATGAGACCTGTTAAGACAGCGTTACTTTGAAATGTTAGCGACAATTGTTAAATTGGATGTGAAATTAATTTATAACTCGGCAACGTTGTTCCATTGACAGTAGTGGCAATTTAGAAATCTCTAAATAATCTTATTACAATACATCTTCTCGTGTTATTATTACATGCTTCCCGTATTTTTAAATATTTTTATTCAAAGTTTTACTTGACATATTTTATCATACAGTAAGCAGAACCAAAAGTGGAACCAAAAATAATCAAACAAAAACAGAACCGTATTTTTAAATATTTTTATTCAAAGTTTTACTTGACATATTTTATCATACAGTAAGCAGAACCAAAAGTGTTAGAAAGCTAAATGGAAAAAACGATCGTGAATAGAATGTTAAAATCCTAGCGTGGTGCGCTATTGTAAAATATTCATTTTAATACCAGAAATTCAATATCAAACCGTTATCACGAAACTGATTCAATGAAAAATATATTAAAAGGAACAATGTGTCAAACAACAAAAAGAGTACATACATAATCATTGTTATAAATAAATCATTGCAATATATGTGTGCGCGTATGTGTCTTTATGCTGTTAATGATGGATTGATTATGACAGAGTATATATAAAAAATTTTGATTAGTTTTTCAAACGAATTCTCTTATAAACAAATGAACACACATAAATTTGAATGATGGATTTGATTAATTAGTTTTAACAAATGTACAAATCAGAGAATAAGAGCCAGTAAGAGACTGCAGAAACTCTACAAAGCCAGTCCAAAAACACTCACAACACAGTACATCGTTTTGTTCTCCCATCTCACAGTACAACTTCCTAGTAAATCAATAGTTCAACTATTTAACTCTTGAAAAGAATAATATTTTTTGTTTTACAAATTATCTTTCAACAATAATTCAGTGACAGGGTAATAATTAACATCAAATCAACAAACATTCATGCAATAATCAAGAAATTTTAAAAAGAAAAAATTTATAAAAATTATGAAAAGAAATAAATATAAAGACCATCAGTAGCATTGTCCCAGTAACATGAACTTGCTGTATGCAGTCCTCCTCCATTCTTTTGCATTATCACGCAGGTAACTTGTGAAGGTCATACAATTTAATTCATACATCTTAACATTGAATTTGTTCAACGAATCCGACCAAAGTATAAAAATCCAAATGAAAATATTACAGTGAAATATTTTTTATAATTGTTTTTATCGATTGAAAATTAGAATGTGAAAACATTTTAAATGGCCACTTGATCGTAGTGAGGTCAATTAACTTAATAAACATTTTTATACCCAAGTCATTCATTGCACTGCATAGAATGATTTTTTATAAGCTTGAAACAGTGAATCAACAAACCAATGTATTTGAAAGGTTTTCCCAGTTTAGACAATTGATTGAGACATTGTTCGACAACATTTGAGGTCCACTGATTGACTTTATTTAGATGATAAGAACTAGAACCAATTGACACTTCTATCGACTGAAGGCAGTAGAAAAATATTTATAGGTACATCCTTTATTTATTTATTCTAATTATTCAAATACAAAAAACTAAAAATATTTAAAAATCATTTTAATTTAAAACATCTTTAAATATATTTTTTTAGAAAGAAGAGACAAACCTCTTTAATGATGTTACTGACCTCTTCAACAATAAACGCAGAGTTCTAAAAATAAAAGTTTAACATAATTTCATAACAAGATATTTTGATAAATTTAATTAAATTAATAATATCATTTAAATCAGATTTTTAATATTCTAATAAACATCCTCACATGTAATAATTGAATTTTCATTTATAATCCTAAGGTGCTAAAACTGAATGTGTGTGTAGTGGATGACTTCACAGCGGTATGCATACATCATACATATTTTAAAAATTGTGTGTATTGTATATATATACAATCATAATGACATCATATAATCATAAAAAGTATGACATACAATCATACATTATTAATATCATAATATTATATTATAATTATATGATATTATTCTGTAGTAATTGTAAAGAGTACTTGTAAAAAGTAGAGGTAGTTTCTATAGTTTCTTACACACATTACAGAATCTAGCTCAACTTATACTACTACATTGTAAGAAGCTATAATAATGTAGAGTGCAGTGTAAATGTAAATTGTAATAAATAAAAATAAAGTAGTCATAGAACAAGAAATTGATTTTAATTTAATAACTAACACAAACATTAATCAACTAACTTCATCAATTTCTTTTTCATCCATAATCAAAAAAGAAAGTTATAAAACTGATAATATGTTACTGATCTTCTTTTTTATATAAAAATAAAATGAAAATCTTGCTTAGAAGAATCTCAATTTACACTTACGTCAGTTGCCTTTGTGCGATGAATATTTTAAAAGCAAACGTAAATAAAAAGTAAAAACCTAAAAACTATGAATGAGTGGAAGAAAATTTGAAAAACCCATTTAACGCATTCTTTCTATTATAAATTTTACTCTTTATTAAAAATTAAAACAACATTGACATTATGCATCCATTATAATTAGTGCAAAAAATTTTAAGATAACCATAATATCTATAAAACGCTTTTTGGTCAAGTATTATAGCTCAATTTTCAAAAGCTATGGCTAATTTCTGTGGGCTATAGAAGATTACCATTGGATTACATAAATGAATCTAAATGTAGCACTTCAATCAATGAATCAATCAATCAATTAGCTATAAAGCGCTATTTCCGCGATGTTCAACAGCGCTCCTCAATGAATTTTGAAAACAGATGGGTCTTGAGATCCGTTCTGAACTTCGCGCAGTGATGGAGAAGTAGTCAGAGAAGTAGGTAGAGAGTTCCTGAGAAAAGGACCAGGAAAAGCAAAAGCAGATTTGGCAAAAGAGTGTTTAACACGAGTTAAGAAAAAGCGAGAAGACGGTCGTAAACCGGGGCGTTTAGGTTCAATTAATATATCACTTAATTTTTACAATTAATTTCACTTAGCACTTGAATCGATGCTGAAAGATTGTTGTGTCATTATTTTATTTTGTAGCTTTAGATGATTATTCGAACCTAAACAGTTAGGATAACCAAGCACTAAAATTACAACGCACGTGTAACGTCATTTCTGTTCTTACCGAGTCAAGTTTGAGAATACGACAGAGTAACCGCGGACAAAAATAAAAGTTGCCTCAATTGAAACAGAGAAGCGACTTTTTAACAAAAATGATATTTATTTTACGTACTTTTCATTTGACGATTATAAAGATCACTTTGAATCGATCTACAACGGACGTTTTCTCCGTTCTTCAACCACTGTGACCAATAGCCACGGAAATGTTTAGAACGAATAGTATAAATTAACGTTAACCCGGAGGCATTAGCAATACTTCTACGTTACACCCAGGTCTTTCATGCATCGTATTCTTTAACGTTAATATCTTCACTTTGCAAAAACCGTGGAATTTGGGCAGAAAAGAAAACAAGATTACATTAAAGATATAGTCAAGATTTTTATCATGGTCAAAAATCTAGTTTTTAAATAATTTATTTATACATTCAAACGTTGTACGCATCAGATGGTTTATAGAAATAGTTTTTTTAATGGTAAAATGTAAAGATTTAACTAATTATATATAATACATATTACAAAAAAATGTAATTTATTTCTTTAAACGCATCTACTTCTTTGGAGGAGGCCTGCAAAATAAAACAAAATAAATTTTTACATACACAATAACATTCTGAAGATTAAAAAAATCAATTCTATAAACATTGATATCATTGAAACAGAAATTCTCAAAATATACATGATAAATAATTTTTGTACTTATTTTCTTGAGCCTCATTAATTTGTTTGTCTGTTTTTGTTTATTTTTTTGTTTGTTAAAGAAATGAAATGATATTTTCTTAGCTCTTTATCCAGATATTTTTAAATGACAAATATATTTAACTGTTGAAAACTGTTTGGCAATAATAAATTTTACAACTCCCTGTTTCAATTAATATAATGTTTAAATATTTCTCAAAATATAAATAAAAAGTGTGATATGAAAGGATTCAAAAACCAGCAGACAAGAACAATAATCTATTGAGTCAACGAACCTGTACTGAGCAATGACGACAGCATGGTCCCTCTCGTACGGCTCCAACGTCAGCATCTCCCTTCTTTTAAACTTTTCCTGCTCCAGTTTATCAATCTCGCTGGCAAAAACTGTTGCCGCTGGAGCCGTGGAATCTATGCAGTTAGCCTGGTTGAAATTTTAACAAAAGCCGTACAGTTTATTAAGTTTTTATTTTCAGATGTGGAAACATTGAAATTAGATTTTAATGAGAAATACCTTGATTGAGATAACTGCATGTCCACCATTTTTCAGGAAACTGTGCGCGTTAATAGCAACAATTCGGGCTTGATCTGGCTGAGCCACGTCAGCAAATATGGTGTCTACCATACCTAATGATAGAATATGGAAAATTTTATAATTTTGTAAAGTTAATATGAACAATTTAAATTCGTGACCAACACCGGTGCTTATAAAAAAAAACTCTATCATCATTTACAACAATATAAAAAAACTCTGTAAACAACTTTACAAGGTATGAAAATTAGTTAAGGTAGCAAACGCAGATGAAATAGCAGAAAAATAGTTTCACTGTACAATAAAAAACAAAGTGAATGTCATATTTAAATAGTGAAGTCAATAATGAAATCTGGGATCAATTAAATAAATTAAGCCAAACAAGTTTTTACAATTACATAAAACGATTTATAAAGTTATCAACAGAAATAGAGAGGAGACTGTTTCAACTTACCAACAAGCATCCTGTATTTGTGTGGATGTCTGGCGTCTTCAATGATGGGAATGACGTTTGTTCGTTTCTTGGCCATGTTGATCAAATCGCGACCACTTCGATGGCTGAACTCCACAGCAAACACCAGACCATCCTGCAGCATTTAATTTGAAAATGTTTTTAAACATTATGACGAGACGAGATGACTTTATCCACATTGAATGTGGAAAGATTGAAAGATGGTATCAAAAATAATAATTCCAAATGTATCAAAGGTTTAAATTTTGAAGTGAAGTTGCCGAAGATCTATTGGTAGAAAGTATTCTGACAATATCAGATCATGGATTGAGGAAAGAAATAAATAAAATAAAGAGATTGAATGTAAGACAGCAAGAATAATGATTAACAAGAATTACAATATAGCAGGAATGTTGAAAAAAAAGCTAACAGGTCCAATTATATCAGAAACATGGCTGACTGATGTACCAGAGGCAGCACCCAGATACAACACTTTGCTACCTGTTTGGTGATGTTATGTAACATTATTACATCATATAAAGCAATGTGATTTAATTGTAGTAATGCTATTTAACATAATGTCATTTGAGGAAAACGTGCATCTTAAACATTTGTGCTATTTATAACAAACCTGGCTTAATGTTTATGTTGTCGACTCCACCAAGAATTGCTGCACCCAGCTTGCTTCTAAATGGATTCCATACCCTGTACTCTATTTTACTCTCGTTCTCCTGAAAACATTCAATGTACAAATGACTAAATTCAGAATTCTTAACTTATAAATGATTTGGAATATTTTAGAAAATAATAAATTTGAACCAATTCAAAATGTGATATTAAAAATATCTATGACAAATTTGAAAAAATTCAAGTGAGTAAATGAAGAATTGAATTCCAAATCTGGAAATTAGAAAACTGAATTTTAAATGGAGTGGGAAAGACAATTTTAACTCAACTCAAAAATAAACATCATGTAAACCACTAAAAAAGCAGAAGGCCCAAGTAAGAAGCAAAAAGTAATTGTAATGAAGTAAATGTAAAAACAGAAGTATAATTACAAAATACTGAACAAACTTCAAAAGAACTTACATCAACTGTAATTCTCTTTTCACCATAAACACTCTCGCCACAAACCATATTTTTTGTAACAAGAGCATCTTCTTTGCCTCGAGCAATGAACACCCCTTGGTGCCTGTGAGGCTCAATGACAACCTTCTTGCCTCCCCTCATTCCACCTAAAAAGTTACAAAATGAAACAAATAATTTAATTTACTATTAAACATTATTCAATAAACAAATAACTAAATTTCACTGAGGTAATGTTTTAAACTTCTTTCCACAACAAACAACAAATGCCAAAATTTTTCCAAAATCAAACTATTGACAAAGTATGCTGCACTAATGATGGATCTATTAAAGAAGAATTGAAAAATCAACAAACCTCTTCCTCCACCCCTGCCACCTCGGACGCCGCCTCCACCCCTGCCACCTCGGGGAGTGAATCCACCTCTTCCAGGAGTGCCACCTCCTCTACCTGATGAGTAGCCCCCCCTGCCACCACCTCCTCCTCCCCTGCCACCTCCTCGACCTCCTCTGCCACCTCCTCCTCTCGGTGAAAATTCTGTTAATTTAGAAAATTTAGTAATTAGTTTATACTTTTGTACCTCATTCATTAATTATCTTAATTGTAAATGCAATTTTATTCTATGGAAAATTGTAACCATCATCATGGGCTTTTTAACATCTATGGCATGTCAGTTTTTAAGGTTATAACAAAAATGTTGTCGTAAAAGAATGGTTGATAATATGGGTTGAAAAGCCAGCTTTGAAAAGAATTCGCAGTTTTTAATTTGTTAAATTAATTTTTATTATAATTTTATATAATTATTTTATATTATAATTATTTTACATAATAAATGTTATTATAATTATTAAATTAATTTAGCATTTTATAACTTCTGATTGTTAAGAAGAAATTGCAAGTTATAAAAACCATTCATTAATTATTAAAGTGCCATATTATTTAAAGTTAAGCACATTTGTTTGGAAAGGAAAGACACATTAAAAAAGTGTGCGTCTAGTTTTATATATATAATTATAACAAAAAAATATTATATATAATTATAAAGTATTTGTTACAATATTATAAACTGGACTGTTTCCATTATAACATTTCAGCCACTTCTAATCACTGAAATTCTCGAGCTTCCTCAAAACCTGGCAAACCATGTTAATCTGGACCATTAAAAAACAAGACATGGATTTTATGTTGCCTCTGGATTCCACCAATACAAGAGACAACTTGTAAAAATGTTAAAAGGGTAACAAAAAGAGGTGATCAGTGATGGATTTTATTTCACCATAATGTCAATGACAAAAGGTGGAAAATGCTGAAATTAGTAAGCCAATTGACCTTGTGAATCCACAACACCTCGAACATAATGCAAGTAGATGCCGAGAAAAGACACGGCCAAAGCACTTGACAACTTTGAAGGTTGAAACTAATGTCATAGTAATACAAGTAAATTTTTAAAAGCTGATTTAAAAGATGAAAATAGCCAGCATTTAGTTTTTGTGTTAAACAACTAGCTATCGCTTCTAAAAAGAGCAGAAAACTGGTTTATGGGTAGTATACATTTAGTGTTAGTATTCAATAATAATTAAAATTATCCATTAAAATGTTACCAAAGCAATGATCAAATTGTTTGTTTATAGGTTATGTACAAGCCATTCATGCAGATGTTCACACAATATATATTTTCATAAAACATCAAAACCATTTTGTTCAAATTAAAGTCTTATTTTGTGTAATTGTCCGATTAAACATTAAAGATTAAACATTAAAGATTAAACATAGAACCAACCATCTTGTAGGACCGATCATCCTAATAAATTAAGAGCCAACCGTGGTTAAACGTGAGATCGGTACTCCTATGGTATCGTTCATGTTTACAAACTATCGCAATGTACTTTTAATAAATTAACTCTGCCCGTGTTTAATTGAAAATAATTAATAAATAGGTAAGTTTTTTAAATCATTACTTGTCAAATAGTTGAAATAGTGAACATTAAATAAAAAAAAATTAAAATATGAGTAAATTTCTGTTTTGATAACAATCAATGGCTTATGGAGTGGTTAACAGGGTTAGGGTTAGGGCCTCCATTTTTAACAAAATTTTCAATCATTTCACAAATATGGAGTGGTTAAAATTTTCAATCATTTGTGAAATGATTAAAAATTTTGTTAAAAAAAAAAAAGCCATTGATATTTGACAACTAATGATCTAAATTATTATTATAATAAGATCTAAATTATTTTCAATTTGATATAAATAAATAATCAAGCGCTAGACAATTCAACACGGGCGGAGTCAATTTATTAAAAGTACATTGCGATAGTTTGCAAACATGGACGATACCATAGGAGTACCGATCTCACGTTTTATCAAAATAGGAACCAAACGTCTTATTTAGTGATCAAACGTCTTACTTAGTGATCAAACGTCTGTAGGCCATCAATAAACCCTGAAAATCTCATAAGCCCTAGATCTCTAACTAAATTAGTTTGTGAGTTGAGTTAACATTTGAAATTCTCAGCTGTGAAATCCTTGAATAACTTTACTAACAAAAATTATAAGGGTCTGACATTTAGGTATTTTTCATTAACCATTATTAGCCATTCGTTAGGATTAGGGATTAGGATTAGCTTAGCTTTTTAAGCAGAATGAGGCAGGTGTGAGGCAAATTAAAAAGTATTTTGTAAAAAAATACAAACACAAAAATGCTACGCAAAATGAGCATATTTTAAAACATACATTAAAATTAAAATAAAAAACAAACCAGGTCTGCCCATTCCTTTGTTGAAATCGACTGATCAAAAATAAAAATGAAACAACTCGGACGATATAAAGTTACCAACACGTGCTGTTAAGTCCAAACACAATTATAAAGAATATAAATATCATAACAAAGAAGCAAATAAGCATAGCCCAAAAACTTGAAAATTCTATGAAGCGCTTAACATTTTATCAATCAACCAATCAATCAATCAATTAGCTTGTAAAGCGCTATTTCCGCGATGTTTAACAGCGCTTCTCAATGAATATTGCAAACAGATGGGTTTTGAGATTTGCTCTGAACTTCGTAAGTGATGAAGAAATAGTCAGAGAAGTAGGTAAAGAGTTCCAGAGAAAAAGGCCAGAAAAAGCAAATGCATATTTAGCAAAAGGGTTTTTAACGCGAGTTAAGAAAAAGCGAGAACAAAAAGACGATCGTAAATAATTTATGAAATAATCTAGATTGAGACTTATACATAAATGTGCAAATTTTAAAAATTATTCTATATTTTATAGGTAGACAGTGCAAATGAACAAGATATGGAGATATATGAGAAAAGAAAGGGGCACGAGCAACTAGACGAGCTGCAGAGTTAAAAGCTTTACTTAAAGGATAGAGTATAAAATCAGGAAGACCATAGTAGAGCGAGTTGAAATAATCAATCCTAGATAAGACTAACGAAGTAACAAGAAGAAGAGTAGAATCATGAAGAAAATTCAAAAGTGTTTTTATTCTACGTAGATGAAATTAAAAACTTCTTGCAACACTGTTAATCTGAGAAAAAGAGACATACTAAAATAAAGATACTACGAAACTTATGAGAAACATCAAGAGTTTTAGAATCAGATAATACGAGGAATAGTAATAGAGCGTTTAGATTTATTAAAACTAATTAATTCAAATTTAGAAGGATTGAGTTTAAGACACAGAGTCAGACCAAGCGATAATTGAAGAAAGACATAGAGATAGATTATGAAGATCACTAATGAGATTAGTTGGAGGAAAAGAAGTATTAATATATAGATTGTAGAATCATCAGCATATAGTTGAGTATTGAAGAAAAGTTATTAATAATACGAGGTAGTTTAGAGGTATAGAGTATAAATATAAAAGAGGGCCAAAGATAGAAACCTGAGGTACCCAGAAAGTAAGAGTAGAGGAGTTAAAATAGAATTATTGAGAACAATAGAAGAAAAACGATTAAAGAAATAAGAAGAAAACCGAGATCGACAAGAATTAGTAATATTAAAAAATGATCTAGCAGTTTCAAAAGAATAGTATGATCAGCAGTATCAAAAGTAAAGGAAAAGTCAAGAGCAAGAAGAAGAGTAAGATTACTATTGTCACTAGAGAGAAAGATATCATTATGTATTTTGTGTAAAGAAGTTTCAGTACTGAGAGCAGGTCTGAAACCATATTGAGATAAAGGTAGCAAGGAGTTAGAATTTAAATAAGATGAAAAATTATTATAAACTACTTTTTCTATTATATGAGAGTTGACGCAGTATTATAAGTATATGAGTGTGCCAACTGACATCTACTTTTATTGCATATATTCTACATATATTCTACATATGTTCAATATATATATATATATATATATATATATATATATATATAAATTCTACCGAATGTTTGGCGATAATATGTTTGTAGTTCGTTTTTTCGATTTTTCTCACTAAAGTTTTT